TCCGTGCCAGCAGTTTCCAAGTAGTTCTCTGTGGTCCGTGCCAGCAGTTTCCAAGTAGTTCTCTCACTCCTCCAGACAACTTGTCTACAATTGTACGACCGCAAGTTTGAGCACGGGTTTAGGTAATTACCATCCAGTCTGCACTATATTATTACACTCAGAATATTCAGTCTTCAGTCTTCTTCTAATTTAGTCTGCCTCGTTAACTTCATCAGCACCACACTTTCAATGACATTAGTCCGCCAACGTGTTTTTTATTAAAACACTGTAGATCCTGCTACCGTTGTGACGGTGTCTTTTCTTCCTCTCTGTTTGGCCTCGCGCTTAATTAATTTCTCATCAGATCTGCATGTTACATTTCTGCAAGCACGTAATACTGATTGACGTATTGTATCTTAGAATGTATTTACAATATTTATTAGAAAAATCACCATCAGATTAGGAGAAGCTAAAAACATTGTTGTGGCTGACGTTAATGTTATATATTTCCTGGAGACAATGCCGATTAGTCGCGAAACTCTTTCTGATTACATTTGATTTAAAAAAGAAAAAGGAAAAGAGTTTTCTTCAACAAATCACTCTTGATGAAAACACATAGTTAGAAAGAATCCACGAAAAAGAACAACAGAATCATGGCCTGGTACCTATGGCATGTACTGTGCAAGCACGGGTCGGGGGAAGGAAATGAAAGAAAACAGTAAAGGCGCCCTCTATAAACACCATGAAGCAAAGCTCGACAGCACACGACGCGTCGCGTCGTGCGTCGTGTCGTGCGTCGCGTCGTGCTCCAGGCGACGCAATACACGACACGATGCACGACGCAACGCACGACAGCTCGACGCGACGGGCGACGGAAGGGGCGACGTTTAGGCGGCAAAAAATGCAACATGGAAAGGACCTAAAGTAGCACGACGCGACGGGCGACGGCACGACGCGTCGTGTGTGTACAAAAGTAATGGCAAGAAGGCGAAGGTGCGATCTGACGGCACGACGCAAGGGAGCCGTCGTGCCGTCGCGTCGTCTGGTTGCGTTGCCTGGAGGGAGGCTAAAGAGAGAGAGAAATGTTTGTCGTAAATAGTACACCATACAACAGCAGAGATCCGAGCACAGGGTGTTCTGGTGTGCCTGGTCATGCGCACCCCCCACCAGATAGCGCCCCTCCCACACTAATACCGTATTACTTAACAGTACTGTTTACAGTCTGTGTAAATTTTGACCTCAGTTTGCATGAATTGTCAACACATGGAGCGTTGTGACCTCAAGTTGCATGTCGACGCGTGGAGCGTTGTTACTTTGGTCAAGTAATGTTGCGATTTTTCAGTCTTTACGCAAGCATTCGACATTATTTTGACTTTGTATGCTGTGTGATTTGTGGATGTAGTTTTTCATATAGAATAATCATCCATTACCTGTAAGGTCAACGTTAAAATGAAAAAAAAAATTTCATGTTTCAACCATGATTTACATCAGCGGGTCCAGTCATTACGTAAACACACCATATACGAGTTTAAACTAAGTAAACTCGGATTCCTGGATACAAGGGAATCGTACCCTTATACGCAATTATTACACTTCAGCATCACACACACATTTATTTCCTGCCATGGCAGAAATATAATGATAAAACAAGTCTAAAAGACACATATATGCCAGAAGAGGTGGCAACACCTTAAAAGCAAAGCTTGTGTTAGGCATGCCCTTAAACAAAACATACATACATATTAATATAAGACACAACAAATAATTGTAGCTCTAAGCAATTATAGAGTAAATGTTGAAGATGGACTATGTAAAGAAAAGGTTAAGTTAATTTTCATGGCTGCGAATATGATCAGAAGTAGTCATTGTGACAATGAAAATTATATTGGTTTACATGAGAAAGATCTTAAGTTGCCGCTTAAAGATGGTATATGATCTTGAAAATCTTCGTGAGGATGGTAGAGTATTCCAAAGTTTGGGACCAGAGTATTTAATGTTAAATTGATGGGCAGAAGTTCTGTGTTGCGGTATCTGAAAATGAAGCTTGGTTGACGAACGAGTGTTGTATTTATGCAAGCCACAGTTAAATACAAACATGTTTGGATCTTTTACGGGCATCAAATTATTTTTTAAATTTATACATAAATAACACTTGTTGATATTTGTTTGTAATACTTAAGTATTTGAGCTCACATTACAGGGGTTGATTGTGGGCCCTATAAGGCGAATTTGTGATAATTCGAACGACATTTTTCTGCAGATTTATTAGTTTAGATAGATTTGCAGGGAATGTATTCCCCCAGACAATATTACAATAAGAACACTTGAACATACACATGTAGAATGAATTTGTAATCAATGATAATTTATACATGAATAATCATGAAACAGTTAAACAAAAACCGTAATCAACGGTTATTCTGTGGCTATCTACATTACGCACTTCATTACTTTTCAATAAATGACAGTGATTTATCGTCAAAAATTACTGTAATTCATTTCCAGAAGTATTGGCGCTCGTGCTGCCAGTAAAATTACTGTGAAAATTTACAGCAGAAAGTAGTGTTCACTTACAATTTATTCTATTATTTAATATAGGTGTTCCCTGCCGTTTTCCGATCATCTTCGTACACGAATTAGCGACAGTTTCATTTAAATTAGATTGCCGGAATAGTTTGACGATCTGATCTGAGCAAAATTGATCATTCAGTTCCATTTTAACAGAATGCGACTGCACAATCTTGTTATTCAAAAAGTGAAGGGTCAGCATTCAATTTGGTGAGCACATCTGCTCAGTCTTTCATTGGCGGTTGTCCCTACTCCCAATCCCAAGCGATTGTTGAACCAGCAGAGGGCGCTAGTTCTTTTCGGGAAAACGGTTCGTTCTGCAACTGCGTGCAGAACGAACTTAGTCAATCAAGTGCAGCCACTGCGGGCTGCACTTGATTGACAAAGGCTGCTCCAAACCCAGATGGGGGGGGGGCATTATCTGGGGAGGCCAAAGAATTCGAAACTTTTGGCATATACCTTTTATGCCTTCTCTGAGGGGAGAGGCTAGTATATAGATTTTGGGGGCGTTTTACTCATGTTTTGAAGGAAGGGAAATGAAAAAGACCCATAAAATTGACTCTTCCATCAGGTCGAGTTCGGGCGGCCTGTTCTCAACACAGGTTTCTTGTGGGAAACGGTGTGAACACGACTCAAGAACACTGTTCTCGGAACAGGATCACACACCACCTCCTCATCAGGGTTTTACAAGAGCACACAGAAAAACTCGTGAGATTTTATTTTTGAACAGCTGCAAACATGGCAAAAAGTAGAGTGATGGCTTACAAAGCCAGAGACCACATGTATAGGAAATTTTGCAAAAGTAACATTAATTATTCTTCATAACACAGAAATGAATGTTCCTGTTTAAACAGAAAGAATTCAGCCCAGTTACCCAAGCATTAACTCTCAAATAACGTACTTGGACGCCGCCATGTTGCATGTTGCTTGTGACTAACTACCAGCAATAGCCGGTTGTACGTTCCCGGCGTTCGAGCGGCTGATCCAAGAACAACTGATCAAGCTGTTCGTGAACACACGAAAACAAGCTGCCCGAACTCAGCCTACGACGAAGGTCGATGTTCATGATATTGATGTCCATCTGTAATAAATCAGAATGGCATATCTATGGCTTTTTAAAAAGTGCTTTGCTTTTTTGAGTGATATTGAATGCATTTTAGTCTTCAGAAGTCTGAAAAAATTCTTCACAATCTACTTTAATTTTTTGCTCACCACAAAAAGGTGTGTTTGTTGGGGGGAAAGATAACACCTTCAATCCCTGGTATTTATGCCCATGATCGAATTAAAAATACTCCTCGCTACAGTTCTCTTCTTTTTCTTTTTTACAGAAAACCCTTTGGTTGGTGAGTGTGCAGAAAGATTTGAATCAAATTCTGATCTTACTTCAGGAAAAAAACAGCTAGCCTGTTGATTAATTTTTCAGCAAAAGCCAAACTGGAAAAGAGGGCATTTTGAGACCCTGTAGCCTATAAACAAATTTAATGTTGGTCTGTGGTTAACCTTAAATTGTTTTGTTGATTTGCTAATTACTTTCTATAATTACTCTTTTCTGACAGTGATAAGGCAACTCCACTGCAAAGACTGATTTCATCAAATTAAATTTTTATCAAAAATTAACAATGACCTTGCACCCGAAGGACCGTAGACAACACCTGAGGGCGCTGTATGCAGCGCCTTAAACAAGTTCCACGGATGAGGATACATTCAAATTTCTTTGGAACGTGCATTTTGTACACAACGTGGCTAGACAATGTTTGCCAATCAAGGAGAAACGTCGGTGCGTCACGCACGATCGATTTGGCAGTATAAACTCAGCTAGCTTACGGGTGGAGATAGCGAGCTCGATCGCTATCACGTGCAAGTAGCCAGCCGGGGAGTGCTAGCTGTTAACAGTTATAATGATTTAATAGTCCTCATCTCAACAGCGGGGCACTTTACGGAATTAAGGAAGTCCACGCGTGATTGGTGAATGGGCCCACTGACTGGCGCGTGCAGTGTCGTGTAAGCAGTCGAGTCCGGTCCGGCCACTCATCGAGTGACGCAACCAAATCCGAATGTCAGATCGTGGGGTACTTGTGTTCACGATCCGTTCCGCCGGCTGATTTCCCGTGGAATTGTTCCCAAGGTCATTGACAGCGTTCTCAAGATCAAGACAGCGGAGGTCCGGATCGTGCCCTGGTTCTGTCTAGAAACGATGGCTTGTCTGCTGATGATGAGAACTGATGCACATTGGATCATGGGATGAACCCCTGCTCAGCATTCCGCTGTGGTAAGTTCACGATTCTTTCGGTCCATTGGTTTTGAACTACCTTTAGGCACTAATTTGTGTTCAAGTGCGGTGGCAATGGTAGATTTGCTTTGCTTCGTCCAATTTTGTAAGGTTCACAAGAGAGTTACCTAAAATTCAGGCTTTGAGAGTGTGGGTGTGTGGGGAGTGGCTGCCCAGTCACCAACTTCTGGTATTGGGGGAGGGGTACATCACAAGATTCATACATCATTCTGATAGTGATACTAATTTTTTTTGGGGGGAGGGGGTAGCTCCTTGCTGCCCTTCCACCTCCCCCCTTGGCAATGGCCGGGGAAAACAGTCTTTTCTTCTAAAAACAATTGCAGAATTTTTATTATCCATGCAAACTGAATCTTTACTTTCCTCTCCCAAGAAAGAAAAATGTCGAATGTGTCGGCGGTTTTAATTCCTAATAGAGAAAATAACGTGCCTCCCTCTCCACCCCACTCTACACTCCTTGCTGGATTCACCACTGCCCCTGTAGCTTCCCATGGCCTAGTTATTTACTTTCAAGAATCAGTTTCTAACCGTTACTCCCAAAGTATCTCTGCCAGAAATTGTTCTTTTTATTGTAGAAACCTTCACCACAGTGTGGTAAACCGGTGAGGCATGCTTTGTCAACTGTAAATCTCCAGTTTCAAGGGGCTTCAAACACCCGTAAAGCGGCAGGGCTTGACCATCGCAAAGTCCTGCCAAATCTTCCCACTCTGCCTTGGGAACTTATAAAGACCAGACAAGGTTATACATGTACTGGTTATTGCAAGGATTGAGAGTATTGCAGGTTTGATGGCAGACAAAATTTTTTGGACATAACTGTAATAATCAAAAGTGAATAAGCCTGGACCTGTTTGATGAACCATTAATGTCAGTGCGACTATCAGCAAGCTTATCCTAAATTTGCCAACTACAGAGATTAAACCTCCAACCATACTGTTTGCGTTGCTGATTTCTATCTGGATTAATGGAAAAGTGCACTGTGAAATTTATTGTGTCTACTATCTTTATTGCAGCACTCGACAGTTTGCTGATTCTAATTGTAGGGGAGGGGGTCAGTGATTCAAACCACTGGTTTTCACTGAAACCCATGGTGGAAGTAATATGTATGTAAATACTGTGGAAAAGTCTGTGACCAGTGTGTGTATTATTCTTCAGTGTGAGCATTTCCCTTTTATGGTAGTATTTAGTTGTGTGCTTTTATTTGGAATTCAACATTTAGCAGGAATTGAGTGCCATTTTCAAACCAGGTGTAGATGTACAGTACTTTTAATTTGCACGCACCATGGCAGGGCTGGGCTTTAAATTCAATATGAAGCCATGCTTAACATTGCGTTTCAAAAACATTCAAGATGTTTGTAATTATCCCCCCCTTTTTTTCCAGATGCATGCACCATTGAGGATGAAAATGAGATCGCGGCGAACTCTCTTCCTGTTGCTTTTAACCTTTGTGCTGGCCTGCCTGTTACTTTATCTACGCATTTCTCCTATGAAGGGGACTCGACACCAAAAGGTAAGACCCTTAATTGTATTAACCATGTGACCAAGTTCAGCACAAACTGAGCCCACCAATGCACATGTGCATCCTCTGGGCTTGTAACACCAGTTAGGCTATGTTCGGTTAGAATCAATACTGGCAGAGTTCAAGGGCCCGTGAAATATAACTTTTTCCAGCAGTTGAACCTCTTGTAAAGTGGGACAGTTCCTTTGTACATGTACCCCATTTAACGCGATTGTCATTTTGTTATTAAAGTGCCATTTTAAGGGCATTTTGGTACATTTTTGATGGTTAAATTATTTCAGTACAGGTTGTATTGTCATCAGTGAGCAATGTGTGATGTCATGATGAGGCAGAAACCTCAGTGCTGCCCGTTCCTGCTCTACAATTTGTCTGGAAGTTATTATTTATATTTTGCCATGTAACTTTTGTTTGCTTGGGTGATTTGTTGTTTCAGTCTGTGACAGTAGCCCTTGGCCAAAGCTTTCTCACAATATTTGAGCAGAAGTTCCCAACTCAACAGTGCCTCCCTGTAATGGCATTACAGCAAAAGTGTCCTCATTTGTTTGGAAGGAAAAGTTTGGAAAATTTAAAATGTTTCATAAAAATGTACTTTTCAGTGAGAGTAAACAAATATTGAGATTTCAGACATTTACAAGGAGGGGAAAGCTGCACAGGGCATATTCTCAATAAAAATTTCACATCTTGGACCCTTTCAAAGAAATGTGCTTCAGGCCTGAGTGCTGGAATCACAGGCATCCCCAAAGCAACAAATGGGACGTTGGGGAAGGCCAGAATTTTCAATGAACAGAAAATCTTGTGCTGTGTAGTTCTTGACATGCATACATGTGCATGTACACACAGTGTGCCATGGGGGAGACTGGTTAAATCCAGCAGTTGATCATAATCTCTGTTGTCAGGGTTCAACAAAGTTCATGCATGGAGGCTGTGATGCCTCTGAAACCATTTTGCAAATTGGATTTCATCACTATTGGTAATATTCTGTGTGTCTGTGGGCCAACTGTAAGGACAGCTCCGTGATATGTGTCTGTTTGCCTACCAATCACCCACGTCACTCTGTACTTTACTAGTGCACATCCCTAGCATACACTGTCCGGTCACAGAAGGTACATGTGCATGTACCGTTGTTTCAGAGGGCATACCTCATTGATGCAGCCTCTGTTTTAAACTTTAAAAACTTCTCACAGTAAAAGGAAATGCCTCACTGGGGCAGTTGTTGACATTTTGGTCAGTGCATTTCTGTCTTGTCAGTTATAGACCATGTTTTTTAAAAAATGGAGTTGACTTAATTGTGAATGAAAGTTTAACAGGCTTCACAAATTCACAGATGGCCTTGCAGTTGGAAACAGAAGCTTTTCAATAGAAATTACCCGTACAATTTGTCTAAAAATCTTGTGTTTTTCCTTGAGTTATTCTTGTTATTCTTGAGACTGTGTCTGCTTTATGCTTACCTGCAGTCAAGCAGTGGAAAATCTAATTAAGAAATGGCTACCGTTACGTTGTATCGTTGCATGCGGATCAGTGCAGAATAGTGTCATTCTCTATCTATTAAGCAGAGATCTGCCGACTCTTCAAATATCAGAAGTGAACCTTGGACCCACCTGTATGTTCATTAACTGCCAATCAGTGTGCATAGTTGGTCTGACAATACCAGTCACACCTTGGACCTCCATGTACATGTATGGTCAAACCTTTGTGTGGGTCACGCACCCATGTCTGTGTAAAATTGGAGCCCTAAAGTCTTACGGGGAGAACTGCTATTTCTCTTGGCGGATTCGAAGAAACTATTTTATTAACTGTGTGGATTCCATGTTAGTGATGCTGACATTCCCCATTGAAATTTGTCAGGCAGTAGCATCAGCACCATGCATTGCTGATGTGAATGAAATATCGGTACATAAATAGGCCCTGCATAGAAATTACCCAGATCTGCTCAGATTTTTTTCCCTCAAGCAGTAAATTTTTATGGGACAATTTCTTGTTAATGTCAAGTTGGTCCAAGAACCCTAGGTAGCAAAATTTATATAATATGAATTGAATCACTAGTATCCTGAAAGAAGTTACAATTACTGAGAAATGAATCACGGAACGAGGAACGGTCACCAGGCAGACGATAGAGGCTCTGTGTGGTAGCCATCTTGCAGGGCAGTTCTTTTGTTCCACAAGGAAGCCTCCCTTGTGCATACCCTGTGGAACAAAAAGACTGGCCTGCAAGATGGCAGCCATGCAAACCCTCTGTAGCTCCTGTCCACATAAACAGGCTGTGCTGCTGGAAATTTCTGTACCTGAAGCCCTTCAGTCTAACCTAGATTATATTGTGTACTATGTACTCTGCAAGTACATGTACAGTATTTCATCCAATACCAATGTGCAAGCAAATATTTGGCCAGACACACTGTGAAGTAAATTGTATAAGGTGTAGCGAATGTAAATATGCTCTCAAATGAGGTTAATAGAGTGTACTGGTAATCTGGGTCAGGCATGTTGTGCCAGACGGGTATTGCTGAATGTTTCATCTGAGGGCTGCTTGTTCCTCGAAGTTTCTTTTGAAATCAACAAGGAGCCCACACTGTCAGTGGTCGCGTATTTTTCCCCAGCACGCAAGCACAAATGATTGGATACACATTGTTGGTTCCATATTATGTACATGTATGTACTTCAGTGTGCCACGTGAACGCGTGTTAAAGGTTCAGGCTGCAATAAATTACGCTTGACTGAAAGTATATTTTTTGAAAATATACCAGAGAGAAAAGTGTGTACATATGCATTCATGCTTGTTCATTCATTTGTCCTCAACCACTTCTTATCGGGCACTGAACCAGAAAAATACAGTACAAAAACGTGCACTTAATGCAGTGTACCGGTAGTCTGGGATTATTAATGGAAGACGGTGTGAATTGTTTATCAGGCCAGTCTTTTCAGATCCTCATCGTTTGTGACATTCTGAACTTCAGGGATGTGATGGGTAATGTAATAGTTATGGTGACAACTGAAGTTTCTTCCACAAATTCCAGGACAACCGTTCTCAAAATGCTGTAACCCCCTCCTCACTAGTATGTGTACATCAATTGTCAAATAGGCAGGCCAGGCCAGGCCAGGCAAATTGAAGGTCTGTGCTGCTCCTGTTTGATGGCTTCACCCTCCTGGGGTCAACCAGGGACAACTATTGTGGCTGCGGTTAACCACTCCACTCAAGCCAGCTCCCTAAACCACTTATCCGGGTCACTTTCAGCAATGATAAAGCTGAAAAGCCTAATCCCTTCTGTAACTGTCTCACAGTTTAATAAGCGGGCTTCAAGTTTGGTTCAGTGCAAAAGCTGGTCCCAGTACTGAGCTGGCAACTTGTGGGAAATGAGGACGAAAAGATAAAAGGTAAAGGTTACCTGTTGAGCAGCAGAACTTATGTATCCAACTGGTACCAAACATATACATGTACATAGTTGTTACTGTTCGCGGTATGTGTCAGATTGCACATACATGTAGATGGATGAGTTCACCAAGTTTTTGGAATGCATATTTTACAACTTTTTTGGCAAGGTGTGTCTGTAGAGACTATTGGAAGCATACTTTGACAGTGTATGAAACTCATACTTGCCTATTTTCGACACTCACTTTGGGGAATAACCTGTCTGTCTGTTCCTTGTGTTTTCCTGATAAATCTCTTGTTTTGGGCATGTCATCATGTTGATTTGTAATGCACACATGTACGGGGGCATCTGTAGTTTAATTTAAATCACAAAAGTAGGAGGGCCTGACGTTATGATCCTAGCAGAATCTTATTTTTACCAAATTTTATAGATTCTGCTTGGATCGAAACGTCAGGCCTTCCTACTTTCGTGATTTGTATTTCAGGTCACTGTAGCCAGCAAGCAGTTTGCATATACATATGTACAGTATCTTCTTGTTTTATTTAAGTGAGCAAAGTGCACAAACATATTCCAGAACAAAACTACAAAATTAGGTCGAAAGGAGTTGTGAATACTTGGAAGAGAAGCAAGGGCTGATTTTGAGAAATGAAGAAACGTGTACAATTTTGGCCCTGCAGGGGTAGTTTATCAGATTTGGATCTGTGGTTTAATAATACCCACAGACATTCATGATAGCCAGCTGATAACAGGGGCCTGCTGTGGAATTTCTTACCAGTTGTTTACCCCGCTATGTGGATGCTCAGAGGTACAGGTGTATGTCAGGGATCAAGGCTTTCTCAGCCAGACTCCCAGCCAATATCCACCTCACAACAGGTGCAATTTTAAAGTTTAATCCTGTAATAAAAAACCCAAGAATGTTGGACAACATGTTTTTCCTGAGGCTGTAAACATACTGGGGGGGACCCGTCCTTCAAAAAAAAATTCCATTTGTTAGTTGGTTCCGGCCCTGTTGCATTTCTGTGAAAATTGTCATCAGGGTTGTCAAAAATCTACAACGGGACAGGGATGTTTTCTGCTTTGGATAAATTCCTTCATGAGAGCATTGTGCTGAAAACATGGCACTTGGAGGTGAACTAAAACTACAGCATTTAAATTCAAAGTAGTTTTCTTCATTGCTTTCTTTTGTTCAACCTACAGTAATTGGCATTTTAAATTTTTTTAAAAAGCCATCGTAAAAAAATCCTACGTGTGCCTCTCCAGGCTTAACCCCATTAATGAACTGATAGCTCCTGGTTCAAGTTCATTACTCTTAAAATTGGCCGGACTGGTTTAATTGGAGCCTGACTCAGACCAAACATTGTACCTTGAAACAGTGCAGTCAGAGTTTTCGCAGATTTTTACCAACCAAAATATGGGAAAACAAACCGTGACAGAAAAATGAGACAGGAGCAAAATAATTTTTGAAGGTACATGTACAGTATTTGAACTGCTCTAACTGGAAAAGTGGGAGGCAATTTTTTTAAATACTAGTCGATGTTTTTTCTCTATTTTAGGCAGGGATTAAATTGAGGGCACAGGGAGGATTTCTGTTTCCACAGTCTCAAAGATGACACATCGTGGATTTTT